CTCCTCCTCCTCCTCCTCCTCCTCCTCCTCCCGCCGACAGCCACACATCGGCTCCCGTCGCAGGCAGCCACCGCGCGCCGAGGGCGCTCCGACCCCCGTCGCGGCGCGACGCCGAGGCGAGGTTGACCCCCGTCGGGGGGGGTACCCCCCCCCCACGCTTGTTAAGAAACCCAGGGCAGAGGGCCCGACCACAGGAGACCCAACCCTGAGGCCCCAGGACGTCCATGGACTTCTTGTGTGTGGGAACGCCACGCATTCCATCGCAGAACCATCGAAGCCCAGGAAACCCAGGGCACCCTGGAGGCAGGCAGGTTGCTTCTAGACAGGGGCCTCCACCGCACGCGAACCCTGCCCCACCACCACACGAGTTCTAGAGGGGTGGAGATATGGGGTTTCCTTCGCTCGGGAGGTCGCGAGCGAAGTGAACCCCACCTCCCACCTCAGAAATCGTGGAGTGGTGGAGTAGGATTCGGGTGTGGCCTCCTACCTGAGCCCATGGTCGTGGCTGAGATTGACAACATCATGCGCATGCGCTGGGGTACGCTATTATTATCGATTGACGATTTGGTGGCAGGCGTTGTCGAAACTCTTGAAGTTGTTGCAGTGTTGGACAATACCTAGGCATTCTTCTCCAGCGATCATGGCTATGGCGATCCGTTTCTCAGAGTCTCGGGCTGTACACCACCATCTCCCTCACCACGGCCACCGCCGATCTCCTCACGGCGCCGCTGTGGCGGGAGTGGTGCTGTCACGTGCGCGTCCCGGCGCCATCGCGCAGTGCTCTCTTCCCTGCGCGAAGGGAGGGCATCAAGGTGCACGATCCTTCTTCGCATCCTCGAACCACGACCGCTTCGGGCGCACCCGTCGAGAAGACAAGGAAGCCAAGAATGGCCAGGCGGATCAGACAAGCAGGGGCAATCACAGAGCCGAAGCAGCAGGACGTGTGCAAAAGCAGAGCCGGCGCGACCGCACTTTTCGCAACGGATCGCTCACAGCAGACGTGTGCTGCGTGCGACGGCGGGCAGTGGAAGAAGGCTATCTCCCTCACGCATCCACATGGCAGAGCAGAGAGAGACTCGGTGCATCCACTTCCATGTCTCCAAACGCTAGGGGCCACAACATCAGCGGACCTCGACAGCTGCAGTTCTCGCGCGCACACACTGGACCACAACAGGAAGAACACATGCTACACTTGGCAGAAACATCGACCAGTCCTCAAGCCAGAGTATGATAACGTGTCCGAATGCGGGTCTAGGACGTGCGCCTGGCCAGTAATTCAAGTCGTACCACCCGTGACTAAGACCGCAACACAATCATTGAAGACAGGGGCGAGGAGCACAACAGAGAGAGACAGAGAGATTCTCATCATGGCGCTCACGCTCCGCGGCGCAGAACCCTGGATTGGTCATGGCAACATAAGAACAATCCATACATATCGCTGCCACACCTCTGCCTGCCTCGTACCATGACTAGTGGGCATGCGCAGAGCGACTCCATCGCGCAGAAGCTCCACGGCCAGATAGACTCGCCCGTGCCTGCCAGCTCCGAGGAGTCCTCATGTACAAGTACATCGCCCTCTACTGTAAGGAAAATCCGCAACCACACTGTGCGGCGGCTGATATGCGCGTGGTGTGTCTGGTTGTGTTGCGCTGTGCTGCCTTGCTGTGGCGGGCGGGTGGTGTGCAGCGTATGGTGTGCCGTGTGTGGTATGTGGTGCGCTGTTCTTGTGGAACGCTGCATATTGTGTGTGTTGTGCGTGTTGCGAAGTTGTTATATGCGTTACGGTGTGCTGCAAGGTGCGACCGCAACGATGTTATACTGTTCTGGTACTTTTTGCGGCTGAGCGCGATTAGCTTTGCTTGTTGTTGTTGAATGCTAATTACCAAACAGTTATTATTGTTGGACCCCTTACAGGCGCCCTGGCGCTCTCGCCGAGGCGCCAACTACATGTTCATTGAATATGAGGCTCACGTTCGAGCGGTGTGGGGGACCGCCAAACCCGGCCCCCCAACAACAACAACAACAACAACAACAACAACAATAACAACAACAACCATTTTAAGGCTGTGCGCTCTTACTTGCCCGCGAGTCATTCAACACGTATACCCTACACCCTCGATACCCGCCCTCTTCGTCTTCGATCACACCCCTTTCGGGGGGATCATTTCTCTTTGCTGGGGCCGGCGGGCTTAGACGTACGGGCAAACCGGAACGGGCGGACAATCCTTCGGGGGCGTACATCTCTCTGCCCGCCATTGGAATTGGCGCGGGCCCTGCAAGAGGAGGAGGGGAAGAACGAGGGAGAGTGGGAGGAAGGGGAGGGGGAAGGACGAAGGAAGAGGGAAGATACCACGTTGTGAAGGCGTCCTTGGCGCGTGCGTGGTTCCTGAGCGCCGAAACGCAATTCCAGAATAATTTGTGAGGACGTCGCACGCGAGAGCGCAGTCCTGAGTACATTGTGAGGAAATCTCAGGCGGAAGCGGGGGCCCTGACTAAGTTGCGAGGAAGTCTCAAGCGGGAGCGCCGTTCCTGAGCAAATTGCACGGAAGTCTCAGGCGGGAGCGGGGGTCCTCACTAAATTGCGAAGAAGAAGTCTCAGGCGGGAAAGCGCCGTTCCTGAGTCAATTGCGCGGAAATGTCAGGCAGGAGCGGGGGTCCTGAGTAAAATTCGAAGAAGTCTCAGGCGGGAGCGCCGTTCCCACGTAAATTGCACGGAAGTCTCAGGCGGGAGCGGGGGTCTTGATTACAATGCGAGGAAGTCTCAGCCGGGAGCGCCTTTCCTGAGTAAATTGCGCGGAAGTCTCAGGCGGGAGCGGGGGTCCCGAGTAAAAATCGAGGAAGTCTCAGGCGGGAGCCGTTGTTGTTGTAGCCCGGGGGGCAGGGCACAGTTTGAGCAGGAAGACTTTCCTTGAGAAAAAACAAGGTGCGAGCCCCGGGGGTGGCACTTCAATCGAAAAAAATCAATGTGCACCGTGGGGGGGATCAACAATAATTATTCTTCAAGAATGAGAGTTCAACAACAACAACAACAACAGCAACAACAAAACAACAACAACAACAACAACAACAACAACAACAACAACAACAGCAACAGCAACAGCAACAGCAACAACAACAACAACAACAACAACAACAACAACAACAACAACAACGCTCCCGCTCGATCCTTCCTCCTTTTCTACTCAGGACTGGTGTTATTGCTCGCCGCCGAAAGCCGCCGTCCTAACAAAACCAGCGCTCCCGCTCGAGACTTCCTCCCGCTTGACCTTGGACTGGCGCGCTAGTCTTTCTCTCGTCGGCGCCGCCCCCAGCAAAAACAACGCTCCCGCTGAAGTCTTCCTCCCTGTTTTACTCAAGGCGGTGCTCCTCCTCGCCGCCGAAAACCGCCGCCCCGACAAAACCAGCGCTCCCGCCCGATACTTCCTTCCGTTTTACGCTGGGCTGGCGCCCAACTCTCTTTTGAATTGGCGCCGCTCCCAGCAAGAGCAACGCTCCCGCTCGAGGCTTCCTCTCTTTTTCCTGAAGACGGTGCTGTTCCTCGCCGCCGACAACCCCCGTCCCGACAAAACCACGGCCCCCGCTCGAGGCTTCCTCCCTCAAGGCGGTGTTCCTCATCGCCGCCGAAAAACGCCGCCCCGACAAAACCTGCGCTCCCGCCCGAGACTTCCTTCCGTTTTACGCTGGACTGGCGCCCAACTCTCTTTTGAATTGGCGCCGCTCCCAGCAAGAACAGCGGTCCCGCTCGAGAGTTCCTGTCTTTTTCCTCGGGACGGTGCTGTTCCTCGCCGCCGACGACAGCCCCCGTCCCGACAAAACCACGGTTCCCGCTCGATGCCTCCTCCTTTCTTACTCAAGGCGGTGTTCCTCCTCGCCGCCGAAAGCCACCGTCCCAACAAAACCAGCGTTCCCGCTCGAGACTTCGTTTTGTTTTACGCTGGACTAGCGCCCTACTCTCTTCAGCATTGGCGCCGCTCCCAGCAACAACAGCAGCCCTGCTCGAGACTTCATCCCGTTTTATTCAGGGCCAGGTCCTTGCCTCACCGCCGACAGCCCCCATCCCCACCAAGGCAATCCTCTCGTTCGATTCTTCCTTGTGTTTTACCCTTCGCTCGGGTTCCACTGGCGGTCTCGCATCGGCGCAGCAAGGCGCGGGCAGGTGTTTTCGAAGCGGGATATGTTGAAATTCCTCGGAGGTGTTTGCAAGACCTCATTGGGCGGGAGATCCGGGAATGGGAGTAATGGACCCTACTATAGAACAAGAGTCCCCCATGATGTGGATGGTTATCATGATGGTCGCATGCTTCGTGGGGAAGCATCGCGCATGACGGTAAAATGATTGTTGTTATTGTTTTGCCGTTTTGCCGTTTTCAACACTTCCGAACGCCAATTAAGCTGGAACCAAAGATAACGCGCCAAGTGCACACGGAACGAGACAAACAGGAAAACAAGACACCACTCCCAATACAAAACGAGAAACGCAGCAAAACGCAACGCTGGCCCAACGTGAACAAAACGCACAACGAAACACAAGGGCACCGAAGCGAAAGTGGGAAAGCACAAGGGCGCCAAATCAAAATGGCGCCGAATACAAGCTAAACGACGCAAGGCGGAAACGAACGAGCAGGGGGGAACTGAAAGGGAAGGGGAAGCGAAGATGGACAGGGAAAGTGCAAAGCAATCTCCCTCCCCCAAACTCTGGTGCTGGATGGGAGGGGATATTTTTCTTGAGCCAAAATATGGCGACGATGCAAGAACTCATTCTCTGTCTTCAGCCTGGCCCTGGGAATACCTGCTGGGGTACCCCTCTGAATTGTTACATATCCGAACACCTCTCCTCAGGCATGGAGCGGTGAAGGGCCGAAAAACTGCATCACTGCTTCCAATCTCGGTGATCAATCCGAGATCTTCCGCAACGGCGTGCAAGCCGTCTCTAACAGCACCAAATGACTCTCCAGCCCCTGCTTCGTGAACAGCAGGCGTGGCTGCACAAAACAACTCAGACCAGCCTTGGAAAGAACGGCACAAACGCTCTCTAGGCGCTCTGCCTGCTCGCAGGTGGGGCTCGCGCCAGCAGAGATGATCATCTCGATCAGGCGCTGCTTCCTCACATAGCCCACCCCAAGGCCGATCTTGTTCGCACGAGCAATAGCTCGTAGGTCAGGCACTGTCAGCCTTGAAAGAACTAGCTGCACTCTCGCATCTCCGTCGCTTGCGGTCTGCTCAGGAGCTGCGCTGTCATCACTCAGCGTCTCGGGACGCTCGTAGCAAACCGCAGTGGAGCCCGCTCTGGCTCCAGCACAACAGCCTACTAGAAAAGACAGCAACGCTATGCTCAAAGCCATCACAATCAGTAGCCAGGGCGCGCCTTTGGCGCCCTCCTCCGTCTCCTGGCCGCGCACCGTCGGTAGCAGCGCGCTCACCACCACTGCTCCGAGCGGCACGAGCCGCAGGTTCGTGGTCGCCATGTGCTTAAACAGGGTCTCTGCTTCCACATACTTCGTGAGGATGTCCGCAACCATCTCCGTGGTCGCTTCTTTGATCAACTCCAGCTGTCGTAACCGTACACGGTCCTGCAGCCAGAGATACCGTAACTCGAGGTGGCGCACCTTGCCCACACCGTGGCGCTGGCAGATCCCTCTGCCTGCAGCACTGTCGCTGGCCACGACAAGACGCACGGTGACGCCCACCTCTCCAAGGAAGTGCTTCGCCTGCAAACCTCTTGCAGCTCCACTCCCGATGGCGTAGAACTCCGACTCTCCTGACGACAACGCTTGAGTTGCCTGGCTGACTGCGAACGCCTCGACCGTGTGGCCTCCGAAACGAACAACTCCCCCAGAGGTCGAAGTCCTGAAGAGGCTAGTCGTAGACGCCCAGTCGGCATCCGCGTCCACTCGGAGAACCTCTGGTAAGTCCTGGAGCTCATAGCACCACAGCAGCCTCGGTGCGCCCTCGCAGTACCTGCACAGCCGGTGCAGACGTGCGTTCATCAGGACGTTTGGCTTGCTGACGTGCTGCATAATCGTCTTGGAGCTGAACATAGCATCAGGCCTGTCACTCGAGACATACAGGCTCAGTCCTGCCGCTGACGAGGTCGACTTGGCCTCGGCCACGGGCAGTGGGTCCAGGGCATTCCTCATGCCTGCCCCCGTAGCCTTTGTTCCAGGGGTAGGCGCAGCCTTGGAACCCGACTTGTGGCCCCAGCGGATGAGCTCCTCCACGTGCTTCGGATCAGCACTCCAGTAGAAGCCTGGCATCCTGGTCTCGGGTAACTCGCTCGTGTAGCCCACTATGCGCTTCAAGTAGTTCAGCTCACCAGGGTAACCTGGGCCTATGCTCTCGGACTCGGTGACCTCGAAGTTCGCCTCCAGGAAGTTGCCAATGGCGTCGAGGGTGTCGCGGTGGCCCTCCGCCAAGAAGTCATCACCGTGGCAGCACATCGTGGCGTCCATGCCGTCACCCACTAAGTTCTCGAAGTAGTAGGTGCCAGCTGTGCCCTTCAGCGGGTTGCCTCCTGCGTCGTCGATAGCTGCCTTGCTCGTCTCGCCCCAGAGCTGCGAGGCCTTCCTCGTCCCGTTCATCGCCTTGTGCAAAACCCAGCAGAAGCCTTTTGGACAC